TGTGTTCTTTCTGTATCTCATCAAACTAATCATGCATTTCTTTTGCTTATTTAAGAAAAGGTTAATTGTAATTAGTTGTTAGTGAAGATGTGGTATTTTGCCTGATGGGCTTGAAAGAAAATCTGCTTCTGACTGCTTCTTTCTTACTGATTGCATTGCACTAAAAGCAGAAATCTGAATCTTCCTTAAATCTGACTGATGCTGTTATCCATGTCTCTTAAAAAACCCAATATGCAAGCAAATGATGACTTTTTTTAAAATTTTTTTTTAAAGACTTATTTATTTTTATACAAGAACCGGGGTACAGGCCAGATGCGCGGGAGGGAGAGAGGATTCACCACAGACAGAGTGGGAAACAGAACAGGCAGACTGACTGAAATACACTGCTGAAGGGAGTGAGACAGGAGAGGTCTGCTGAGCCATGTGGGACACCTCGCCGGTTGCCAGCTGGCTGGGATTGAACCTGCTCTGCAGAGGCTGCGGACAGCTTTCATAGCACTGTGCTCAACTGCCTGAGCCAGCAGGGGAGGCCCGGTGACTTTTTTTTAAGCTTTATTTATGTGTAGAAGGATGAAGGGGGGAAGAGGGTGGTAGGACAGAGGTGGGGGAAGGGTGAGAGGACTCACCAGAGACAGTGGGGATCAGAGCACAGGGATTTGTGGAAATACACTGCTAAACTGAGTAGCAAGCAAGACAGGAGAGGTGTGTTGTACCATATGTGGGTTACCTCCCTGGCAATAGTAATAATGCTGACACTAACCCCTGTGTGCCACCAGGGAGACCCCAAATGGTGACTCCGAAGTACTGAAATAGTTTATCTTAGGCTTTGAATTATTTTTTTTAATGAAATTCTCATCTCATTGTAAACTTTGGGTGTTACGGGGTTTTTTTTTTTTAACAAATTTTTAAAACATTTTTAAGAACAAATTCTCAGACTACAACTGTAATTTTGCTCATTAGTCTCGATCTGTCTGGGCTAAAGTTTTTAAAATTATCTTTCAATTAACAAGCATCAAGATTCTACTTGAAAACATGGATTTGGTATAGATTCTTTCTCCTTGTGGTATGAAGAAAGTTGTTCTCTGAAAGATTTTTTTAGTAATCAAGGTCATTGTTTTGATTATATATTAAGTATAATAAAATTACCCTCTTCTCATACAGAAATAAAGGCTCATTGTAAAGTTGTCTACTACAGTGTTTGAGTTTATGCTATGTCCATGTAACTGTCCTCTGCACCAATGATATATGCAATAATGAGATGTGCTCTCTGTCCTAATGGTGCCACAGTTGAGAAGATTAAAAATAAATGTCCCATGTAGACAGATACATAACAATTTAAATATGTATAATACTGAATCTAGTATTAAGGACTTCAGGGAAAGGGAGTGGGAGTAAATCTTACCTGTTTTGTATATTAAAGTATTTAATCTTCTAGGACTTAATTGTGTACACTTTGCATCGTCAATATGTTTAGTGTGTTCAGTATGTTCAGCATTTTAAAAATAAAATACTTCATTTCATTCAATTCTAAGTTGATTGTCACACATCCATACCCAGAAGTTTTCTCTTTATATTTTCTATATCTTCATTTAAGAAGTTAGGTGTTTAGTGAGAGACAGTTGGCTATGGATCACTAAATTAATTACTTGACCTTTTAAGTTTCCAGGAAGCAGGATTGTGATAACTGATCTGTGTTATGAATAATTTTAATTTTATCATCATGTTTATGTGTTAACTTTGAGAATTCAGAAACCTCCTGATTTTGATAAGTGGGTTGGATAGATGGATGTCCAATTAAACTTGGTAGGTATAAAAGGCCCAGAGAATTAAGTAAATTCTACAGCAACATTGTAGAGCCAGAACTGAACATGGTGTTTAATCTGGGACTGACTTTTTGTTGAATATGTTGATTCCTACTGAAGATGATAGATTTACAACATTTACTAAATGCCTTTAAAGGACTGAAGTGCCTTCTGACAGAGAATAATAGATGAGAAGGGACAACATAAGAGATACTTTGATTATATGAGTTGAAGGAGAATAATGGTAATAAAATTATCCGTGTTGAGCCTTGAGGTGTAAGTGCCTTAAGTGTATCGACCCATTTGAGCCCTACAACAATCCTAGCAGAGAAATATATTTTCTCCCATGTTACAGGTGAGAAAATGGAGGCCCAGTTAAGTTAATTAGCCCAAACTTATGCACTGGTAAGTGGTCAAGTTGGTAGCAATTCTGATAGTTGTGACTGGAGTGTACTTAAATAGCTGTATTAGGCTGCTTCCCTGTGTAGTATGAGATTTTCATTAAGCTGGATTGCCTTAGAATGTAAAGGTAAGTGTAAACTTCGGCAATTCTAAACTGACCAGGTTGAGAATTTAGCAAGTTAACTTTGAATAATGGCAATTCACTTATTAAATGATAAAATTCTATTCTACGTATGGCAACATTTCGTGCAAATATTACCATATTTTGTTTATATATTCCTAATACCAGAAAAAATGATGCCTTGAGTTTACATATAACTATAAATGCAGAGGAAGTAAGATTAAATCATTGCATTGCTTGAAATGCAACCACTGTGGGTTATTAAGGGTATTATAAAGGTTATTTGTTCCTATTTCCAATTGAATGACTACTTACCTTCAAATATATAGTTTTTGCATTTATTGAAAGATTAATTTTCTTGCATTCACTTACACATTTGTTTATAAGAAAAATTAGTGGTGTAAGAGACAGTTGTTTTTAAATACTGTATTAGTAACCTCTGCAGAGTATGCTTGCTTTTTAGAATTTGATTTTAGGATATTCCAAAGGAACCAAGTAAAAAAAGGCAATCAGGCTATTGTAATTGAAGGCTCGCAGCAAAAGTGGATTTTTAAAATCAACCAAATTTAACATTTAATACTTAGACAAAGGGTAGGTTATGTGGAAAAACTTCAGAAAATAATTATGAAAGAAGGACTTTTTGAAGTGTCATTGAGGATCTCCACTTTCGTTTTCATATTACTACAGAAGTGCTCTGTCAGTGTACATTTGTACAACTTAGTTGGTATAGCATTGATAAGATTGCATTTATTACTGTACCTTTTGTTTTCATTTCTTAAATATTTAGTGTAAAATTGACACACACATGCTTGTTTTTATAGAAACTTTCCAAAATGAAATTTTGGAAACTTTCCAAACTTTTCAAAATGGGATTAACTTAGAAATTTTTAATAGTCTCATATTGATGGTGCTACTGAGTGAGTGTCCTAAGTCAGCACAATGTTAGAAAGAATTGAACTTCAGTCCAACCAGTTGAAGCATGCATCTCTGTATTGTGTCTATCCTAAAATTAATGAAAACAAATCATAACATTTCCACAAAGTAGATTCTTCATACATTGGGAAATGGGCTTAAGAGTTCTTAATTTGTCAAATTCTTATAATAACTTTTCATGGGAACAATACATTGCATATTTTTGGTTTTGTTCTTTTATTTCAGCTTAATATCAGTTTGGTGTTAAACCTATATTCATAATCTATAATATTTACTTTCATAATATATAGTTGTACATAATTTAAAAATCTGTTGATATTTGCTAGGTTGACCAAGTTTAGCTAGTTGCTGCCCCTGGGAATTTACTGTTTTGTACCAAGGAAGATGGAGAATTTTACTCCTAAATGCCCTTAATTTTTGTGAAAAAATGGTTTGATTCATTTTTCTTTTAATTTTTCAAACTTCAGTTTCGTAAGTTTTCTTAGAGTTCTATTTTTTGCATATGTTTTCTATTTAGGCTATTTTAAAGAGCTGGTTATTTCTCTTTATTACTTACCATATGTCCCCCTATAATCAATAGCTTAGTGCTTAAGAAGATTTCAAACCTACTTTGCTATTAGCCCAAACCAAAAGTAATTATGAGGATGTATCTGTTGGGAATGGGGAGGAGAGGGAACAAGCCTACTTCTCATTTGATTGCTCTATTCCCCCTCCACCCCCTTTGTATATTGATTATTTTCTTTAATTCTCTTAGTCTGGGTGTTCTTAGAGACCAGTGAGTGCTTCTGTTTTCAAATCAGAACCTCTGAAAAAAATTTGACCTTGTATTCTAAGTTTTAGTTGCATGATTTCTGTCAAGGTCTTGTTGAATGATGTTTAAATAATATCGAGTGCTTGAGACCAAAGACTTCTTTTGTTAAATTCATTAGTACCATGCTACTTTATTTTAATAGTATTTTAACCTCATGAGTTAATTTTCACAAGTATTAAATTTCAGTGTATGAGTATTCTTAACTACTTTTAGTAGTCTTTAAATGTTTTATTGACCAGTATGCTTATTTCTTTCTTATTGTTCTTATTTCTCAGATTGTTCATTTAATTTGAAATTGTTGAATAAGTGGATATATTGTTTCGGTACCTATGATTGTTGTATATAATTTGTTCACCTCCATGTTTTCTTCAGATTTGTTCATATTAAAATCAAAATTATTTTGTTTGACCATACTACATAGAGCAGCATCGGGTCAAAATCCTGTGGTAGTGGAGGCTAACTTCATGATTTTTATTCATTCTTTGTAACCAGTATTCATAGATTTTGATGGCAGTCATTGATAAAACTAGATTAAGCTTCCAAATTAATATTTTTTCCAGATATTCATGAATGTGTTTCATTAAATACTTCTTTACCAGAAGAGAGTATTGATGATTTGTACTTAAAAGGTTTGTTTATGTATTTTTGTAAAGTCACTTTGAATTTTTAGCACCTTTGATCTAGAATTTTAATATTTTACCTAGTTTTTTAAAAGACCAGATTGCTATAAAATTTATCTAATACAGTTATTAAAAATCAGAAGTAACTAATAGTGGGGAAAAAACTGTCTTCCTCCAGGAAAGAAGAAAAGTACAAGTGTTGAATTAAAATTAAAGAAATTAATAATAAATTTAGGTTAGAAGTAACATGATAAACTTTTAAATACATTTATTAATTTTGATTGTACATATAAATTCTAACATCTGTGTTAAGATAGGTAATTAATAAAAATTCTTCATTCATTCAACAAGCACTTACTAAGCATACTATGCATATACTGTAGTGTTAAGTGGGTTTTAATATTAAGTTTTACTTGTTACCTTTAATAACCAGATAGATTCTTGAATTCATGTTAACTGCTTTGGTCTTACATGGTAACCTTTTTTTTTCACTTTTGTTCTAGATGCCTGGAATGATGTCTTCTGTGATGCCTGGAATGATGATGTCTCATATGTCTCAGGCTTCCATGCAGCCTGCTTTACCGGTAATTTTCTAAGACTGTTTCTGTGATGTTTTGATTACTTTCATATGTGAAATAACGTGTATTCTATAGGCAATTGTTTAGCTTTTAAATGTCTGTGGAGTACCATAACATAGGAATTGCAGTCGACTTTTTATATTTAGTTTTTAACATTTTTCCCACACTTATTATATACCATTATATAGTATACATCCTTGTTTATTCTACATTAAACAAAATTAGAGTACTGGAGAAAATATTTCATCATCCAGAAGCATTTGGTTGGTCTGGTAGCATTCTGATCATAAAGAGAAGACATGGTGCTAATTAAAAATTGATAAAATATTATTTAATACTGGAAGCTACATTTTTTAATTGAAGAAACACTGCATCTTTAAATAGAGATTCAGGTGTGAAGAGATAGATTTAGAATGTCAAAGATTTCATTTCATTTTCACATTTCATGAGATGTAAGCTGTGGCAGTTTATTTAGAAATTCCATGAGCAGCCTTATCATCTTTTAACTGGGTTGTGTAGAAATATGTGAAGCATGATATTCTAATTTAGCTTGTTTATTATCTGAAATCCTAGTAATGTGACATACTCCATTGGGGTGTTAGGGATAGATTTATTAGAAAATTGGTGTTTTTTTTTAAGATTTACTTTTTATTTATTTGTGCTTACAAGAACTGGGTTGTAAGCCAGAGGTGCGGTGTGGGGGTGGTGGTGAGAGGATTCACCAGAGACATAATGGGGAACAAAACAGGTGAATCTACTGAAATACACTGCTGAGGGGGGCAGTGGGTGAGACAGGAGAGGTCTACTGTACCATATGAGTTAGCTCCCTGACCAGAGATTGAACTCATGTCTCACTGACTGGTGATAGCTAATAGCTCTAGACTTTAACCCCTGTACCACCAGGGATGCCCCCTGAAAATTGTTTTAATATTAGAAAGTAATAACTTGCACCATACCATTTATTATATAAAAATCTCTCATGGATTTTTAGGTAGTGCCCTATAATATTTTCTTTTTTAAGATTTATTTATTTATTTATACAAGCACCGGTTACAGTCAGAAGTGCGGGAGGGTGAGAGAATTCACCAGAGCCAGAGAGGGGAACAGAACAGGCAGACTGACAAAATACACTGCTGAGGGGAGCAGCGGGCGAGACAGGAGAGGTCTGTCGAGTCATGTGGGACCCTCGCCGGTGGCTGGGGATCGAACCGGTGCTGCAGAGACTGCGGGCAGCTTCGCAGCCCAGCGCTCAACCGCGCGCCACCAGGGGAGGCCCTGCCCTATAATATTTCTATAACAAAACTTTATAAATGTTCACTTTCAAGCATATAAAGAAAGTGCTTGCGTCGAAGTCAGGGCAGGTTTTTTTCAGAGTAATGAGTTTTGGTGCAAAGTTTGGTTTTCAGAGCTTTTTGGATTTCAGAATTGTATGTAAAAGGTTATGGATGTATGTACAACTGATGACTATATATACACGTGTATGTATATATAAAAAGTAGCTTGGGATACTGATATTTTTTGTAATGTATAGCAAGCTCAAGGAGCTGAGACCACTAAAATTTAGTAAGAATCTTTGAATCATTGACTTGAGAATTATAATAGAGGGCACTTGATTGTGCTTTTTTAGGAACTTAAATTTAAGATAAAGCTTAAATAAGGTGATTATTGCTAATACAATTTTTTCTTTTTACAGCCAGGAGTAAATAATATGGATGTAACAGCAGGTATGTATAAAACTTACAGTGGTTTATAGTTTACTTCATTTGAAGCATAGTAGCTATATTATGTGTGTTAGACTTTATAATCAGCTCCTGGGTTTTTTTTTGATAATTTGATCCTTAAGAAACTTTCCTAGGTTTATATATGTATGTATGTACGTATGTGTGTATATATAAAGATCTTACTAAGTTCTCCTTAATTTTGTTTCTTCATTGTGGGTTTTGTTTGTTTGTTTGGGGTTTTTTTTTTTTTTTTTTTTTGAGGCAGTGTTGATTTATAATAATGTGTATATGATTTAGAAGTATAGGTTCACATCTCTTTAGAAAACATATCGTGGCTATCCCCTGGCTGCCATTAAAGCACCCATAATCCCCCACCATAGTCAATTGTGCCTCCTCCTGCCTTAGACTCCCTACCCTCTCCAGTAACCTCAATTTTACAGTTAAATTTCTAAGGTGGTTTAGTTTTGTCTGTTGATTTGTTTCGTTTTTCTGTATTCTTCATGTGTCAAATCATCTGCTATTTGTCTTTCTCCTTCTGACTTATTTCACTTAACATAATCCTTTTCATTTTTAATGGCAAGATTTCATTTTTTTAATATACCTTAGTATTCCATTGTGTATATATGCCACATCTTTTTAATCCACTCCTCTGTCATTGGGCATTTAGGTTGTTTCCATAACTTGGCTATTGTAAATAGGGCTGCAGTGAACGTTGAAGTGCATATATCCCTTCAAAAGAGTGTTTTTGCATTCTTAAGGTAGATACCTAAGAGTAGAGTTACTGGATCATATGGCAGATCTATTTTTAATGTTTTGAGAGACTACACACTTTTTTCTATAGGCACTGGACCAATCTACATTCCCCCAACAGTGCATAAGCGTTCTTTTTTAATCCACATCCATCAACACGTATTTCTGGTTTTTTTGACACAGGTTATTCTCACAATGTGAGATGGAATCTCAGTGTGGATTTGATTTGTATTTCCCTAATGATAAAAGATGAAGAGCATTTTTTATCATTTGGCTGTTGGCCATCTACATGTTGTCTTTGGAGAAGTGCCTGTTTAGCTAGCTCTTTTGCCTAAATTTTGTTTTCTTGTTGAGTTGTGTGAGGTCTTTGTCAGATGTATGATGTGCAAATATTTTCTCCCATTTGGTAGGGTGTGTGTTCATTTCTATGATAATGAAAAAACTATCATAGTTTTAAATGAGGTATTTATGGAAAAAAATTAGTTTACAAATATCCTTTGGCCCACATGGCATTTTAAAATTTTATAGCTAGTTTCTAACACTTACAGTCTGCTGACTTTACATAAAGATTCAGTTGATCTTTTTTATGTACAGATTGAATTTACCTTGAAAAGATGTATAGTCTTAATAGTCATCAGTTACAGTGGTCCTGTCAACACAGTAGGTCCTTAGAATATTTTAATGAAAAAAGGTTGAATCCATGTTTACTCAGCAAACATTGTGGAATGGACTAGCAACTCCACACTTGGAGACAGAAAATGCACTTTCATGACCTTCTGAACTAATTCACTCAGTTTTCTGTTACTGTATTGGTGCTAGTAGCTTTGAAGTTTGTAAGCCTTGTGCTAATTATTTATTTGGTTAGTTACCAGTAATGTTTGGTTTCATCACAATTTTGGTATATAATAATGCCTCAGTTATCCATGAACAAACAATTTTTCACAAATTTAGTATTCCGGATGCTGAATTTTATCCCATGGTTATGCTATCAAGTTTTTCTGTTTTCATTATTACTGGTTGAAACATGTTAAAACATGCTATATGTTCTCCTGAAGGCTTATATGTGGCATGATTAATCAAAATATGTTTTCAAATTACTTAAGCTAAAGCGATATTTTGAAATACCTAACATGATACCTTACTTAGATATACCTAGTTCTGGTTAATAGTACTCTAAATTTTCCTGGAAGATTGCCTTAATAACTTATAAAATATTTTGTTTCTACCATTGAGCTTCTTTTCATTGTTCTTGGGTCTATATGAACTGTTTCGTTTTTACATAGTCATTTTTTTTAACATGCAATTTTAAATTACTGATTTTCTAAAATTAGAGATTATTCACATTAACTTTGAAACTAATGTGCATGTCTCCTTATGTCTTAAGGAGTTTTGGTAGTAGTTTAAGACAGTACCATATAATAGAATGTTCTGCATCTGTGAAAATGTTCTGTGATCTGTACTGTGTATTAGCTACTAGCTATATAAAATTCCTGAAATGTCACTACTGCATAGGAGGAACTAAATTTTAAATTGTATTTAATTAGTATATATTTTAATTATAATTTTAACAGGAATAGATGGTGGCAGATTGATAGTGTATTATATATAGCACACATATGTAATCTAGATAGTGGAAATTGTCAAAAACCTAAAGCATCAGTTCATGACACTGTACTCTAGTAGTTTAACAAAGGAAGAAATTAGACCAGATAAACAAAAGAAAGAGGTAAATTCATCTCACACTAGCTCCAAATGATTTTGCAGATTGAAAGCTCAAAATGCCACTTAATCCTGAAAATGCTTTTTGCATATTGATGTTTGTGGGAAAGAAAACAAGCACATAATCATATGGGACAGTTTTAGGGTATGAAAGAATGAGGAGGAAGAAATAACGTGAATAAATATTTTTAGGAAACATGGTTATCACATTGTAAATATTCCTTTTTTACTTTTTTAGGTACAACATCCGGTGCAGTAAGTACTTTTGGAATAGTTTATTTCATTATATTTCTTTAGTCTACTACAATATTTTTTATTTCTAAAGATTATCACTAGGTAGACTCCTTTTCCTTTTTTTCTATTCCAAAGTTGAAAAATTATTTGATTTGTTGTAAAATCTAATTTGGATGGGACTTGGTAAGAAAAAAGGAACTTTGATATCATTTTTTAAGGATTTGCTTTCTCATCACATTTAGAAAACAAAAATTAACCTGATAATTTTCAGTTAACTTTTCATTGAAGGTATTCTTTTACAAAAATTTATGTACCCTAATAGCTTAATGTTTTGCCTGCTTGTTAAAGTAATGAGGGCTCTCTGGGAATATAAGGCAAATTATAAAGAAGAAAGTAAATTTCACCTGAAGTTTTTCCACATGCGCCACCACAGTTAATTTTTAGTTGTGTCAATTGTCTATTCAGACATTTTTTATGTCACTGAATTGAAATTTTTTTTGTCATATGTTAAACTCTCGTATCTTGGCATCTCTTTCTTATTATTTTTCCATTTCTAATCCAATTGTTTATTTTCCTAATCAGAGAAACTTTAACATCTAAAAATGCAAGTATTAATGGTTTCTCTTCTCATTTCCTTAGTTATTTTAAGGTATTCATGTGAATTTCCCTATCCACCTCAAAAAAAAAATCTAAAAAATACAAACCCTGATACAATCAGAAGTCAAAATTACCTGGGATTATATTTTACTCATTTAAACTTTTGTAGAATTATTTCTGTACTTTTCTAGTCAACAGTCCTATCTAAAAATACTGTGTATTTGAAAGTTTATTATTATTTTATCCTTTCTTTAGATGCTCTGTTTGGATATATGTCCTAAGACATGTGTGAATTGGGAAAGAGTATGAAATTTTATGTGTAAATTACTGTTTTTTCTGTAAATGTTTTATTTCAATGTCTATCTCTCTAATTTACCTGTTCTTTACTCCCCCACCCCCTTTTTAAGGTTTAAATGGTTTTTATTCGTTTCTGTATATTCCTGCACATTTTTTATATAAATTTTTGAATCCATTGGTCAGGTTGCCAAAAAAATTTTTTTTGGTATATTGGTTAAATCCCACTGAATTTATAGATCCTGGGGACATTTAAAATATTAAATCATCACATATATGAACATGGTAGTCAGATCATCTTTTGTATCTGTTCTAGAATGGTTTTGCGCTTACTTCAGTAAAGGCTTGTGTAGTCTTCATTTTGTCAGTTTATAGATACGGTGTAAAATTTAGTGCCATTTTGAATTTTTCTACTGTACTTTATAATGATCATTTTTACATATTTATCCAGCAGGCTTGCTGAACTCTTATTGTCTAGTGGGTTTTCTGTATATATTATTCTATCCTCAAATGACAGTTTAGACTCCTTCTCTTGTAATTTTCATACTTGTTTCTACTTCTACTGTCAGCCAGAAAGCTCTAGTACTATAGTGAACAGTAGCAATATTAAGCTGGCATCTTTTTCTTGTTTTCTGTCTTAAGTGGAATATGTACTAAATGTCTCCATTAAGCATGTTGACCATAGTTTTTTGGGATATAACCTTTGTTAAGGTCAGTCTTACCTGTATTCCTCTTTTGCTCAATATATACATCTATTTAAAATTATCAGTGCACACGCGCACACTTTGTGTGTGTGTGTCGGTGGGTGTGGGTGGTGTGTGCAGAACTGCTGGGGTGTAGGTCACAGGTGTGGGGTAGAGAATTCACCAGAGACAGAGTGAGGAGCAGAACAGGCAGATTCACTGAAATACACTGCTAAGGCGAGCAGCAGGCAAGACAGGAGAGGTCTGCTGTACCATATATAGGTTGGCTCCCAGGCCGGGATCAAACCCAGGCCATGGTGGTGATCGCACTGAGGCTTAACCCAAGGCTACCAGCGAGGCTTGCCAGTGCTTTTATAATGTCGATAAAGATGATTATATACTATTTCTTCTCTAGTCTTAATGTGAAAATACAGAGAAATATTTTCTGACCTACTACTAAGGTGAGCCCTACTTGTTCATGTGTTTTTAAGGTGTGTATGTGTGCACATGTGTGTTTATTAATTCCTTCTGGTTTCAGTTTGCTATTATCTTATTTAGGTAGCTTGTGTCTGGGCAACAACCCAGAAGAACTTGTATGAAATGATGAATAATTTATTTCTTAATAACTTAATGGAAGGAACACTACTGAAAGCTTAACTGCTTTTTTGAAAATAGAAGTTTGGGGTTATCATTTTACTTTCTTTTGTGGTTTTGGAGCTATTCAGTTTCAAGTTTTATTTATTTATTTTCAGATAATTAGTCCTTTTAATCTGGTGAAATAATTACTACAAAGTTAGAAATCTTAATAGATGTTTCTTTTCGGACATGATTAACTATCTTTGCTGTCATTTCTTTCTTGCTTACTACATTGCTCTTTTCTATTCTCTTCAGTGCTTAGCTTTTATCTTGTTGGTTTTCAGGTAGTTTCCTTGGTTTTTGGTGCTGATTTGTGGTGTTTGATTATTACTTACCTCTCTTTTTCCTTCATTTGGTTTCATTAAAAGTTTATTCCATGGTATATTTTTCTTGATTTTCCACTTGTGGGAATCTCCTTGTTGTTGAACCAGTGTGGGGAAGGAGACTATAGGCTGGCTTTAGGATTTTTTTAAGTAGAGTTTTTGAGGAGCAGTTTTGAGTTCATTGTAAAAAGGAGGGAGGGCAAAGTCGAGTTCCCAGATATCCCCTCCCCCCTACATGAAGCTTCCCCAAATAGCAGTATCTCCCACCAGGGTCATACATTTGTTAACAGTCCCTGAAGATATTTTGGTATGTCTTTATCACCCTAAGTCCAATTCACATTAGGGTTTTTCACTCTTGCTGTTAAGCTTTCTGTGAGTTTTAACAAATGTGTAATTAAATATAACCATCATCATAGTCTCATACATAGTAGTTTTGTTGCCCTAAAAGTCCGCTTGTTCCATCTATTCATCCCTCTCTAGCCTCCCGTCTCCACCACTGGCATCCACTAATATTTTTACTCTGGCCATAGTTTTACTTTGACTCCAATGTCACATAGTTAAGATCATATACTCTGTAACATTTTATATTGGGTACTTTCATTTCTTAATATGCACTTACATACCCTTTTATTTCTTTCCATGGCTTGATGACTCATTTCTTTTCAGCACTAAATATTAATATATAATAACACAAGCAATAATAGTAATAGCAGTGGATAGTATTCGATTGTTTGAATATGCCAGTTTGTTCATTTATCTAGTGAAAGACATTTGGGTTGCTTCCACATTTTCCCAATTATAAATAAAGTATTCATACACATATTTTTATTGGACATAATTTTTCAGCCCATTTGGGCAAATACCAAGGATCACTATTGCTTGATCATTTAGTAAGAGTTTGTTCAGTTTTGTAAGAAACTGGGCAAACTATCTTTGAAAGTGATTTCACATTTCAAAGAGAGTTCCTGTTGCTCTACATGCTTGCCAGCATTTGGTGGTGAGGGTGTTTTAGATTTTTGCCATTGTAGTAAGTACATAGTAGATCATCTTATTGTAGTTCACAATTCCCTAATAATATATGATGTTGAGAATCCTATTTGCCATCTCTGTGTCATTTTTGGTAAGTCTCTGTTCAAATCTTTTGCCCATTTTTTGAGCTATTTTCTTAATTTGAAGAGTTCTTTGTATATTTTGGATAACAGTGCTTTATCAAAAGTGTATTTTTAAAATATTCTAGCCCAGTTTGTCTTACTCTTTACTGTGTGTGTCTTTGATAGAGCAGATATTTTTAATGAAGTTCATCCTATCGGTTATTTCTTTCATGAATCATAGCTTTGGGTCACTTATTTTTTTATAAGGTACCCATTTTGCATTATGATAAGAAAAGTCTAAGGTCCTGAGTCTTTGCAGTTTATTAAAACTAATGTGTGTTCTATTTCAAGATCTATTTTTAGGAATATTCTGTAAATTATCAAAATTATTTGTTGTTACTATGTTTTTTAGTGTATTTTCCCTCTGCTCAATCTCTTAAGACAAGGCATGTATTAAAATGTTTAGCTTGTTTCAGATAAGCCATCTTTTTCTCCCTGTGTTTTCTATTTCTTTCAAGGTTAAATTGCCCAATGCATTTACATTCAGGATATATTTTCTATCTGTTTTTTCCATCTTAAAAATTCCCCCTTCATTATGGTTCTTGCTTTAAATTCTCCTTAAGCAGGACAAACAACTGTCATAGCTATTTCTTTTTGCCTCATAAAACTTTTTACATTGAGAATAATGTATTTTCTTATTTTTATTGCAAGCTCTTTTTATTACCAGATACTTTGGATAATTAAAATAGTTTTTTTTAAATCTCTTTCCTAGTACCTACACTAAATCATTTTATTTCTATGTTGTAGTTGTTAAAATGTGATGGTAGACTCAGTTTTTGGTCATTGGTTTTTGACTTAAGAATGGTTTTTATTGGCTTTTTATAAAAAATGCTTTTTATCATTTAGCTATTTTTATTTTATTTGAAGATTTTAAGAATATTTTGAATACTTAATGAATTGTCACAATTGTGATTTGATGTGCCAAGTCTGTTACTGTAATCCAGTGCTGTTTTCTTTCAGTTTGTTACAAAAAATTATTTCCACACAAATTTCCTAATACTGAACCACCCTTACACTGTTAGAATAAGTTCTCTGTGGTCAAAGTATAGACACTGTGATTCTTTGTACTAACATTTTACTTCTCAGCTAATATTTCTTGCTTTTTCTGTATCTTTTCTATTTGTTTTGTTACAGAGCTTTTCATCTTTTTCTGTAATCTAAAATAATGACACTAATTATCTGTTCTTTAGAATTTACATATTATTTTTTAAAAGATCTTTTTATGTATCTTTTAAATTGCTTCTGTGGTAATTGGAATATTTAGATATATACGTTGATTATTGAATGAATTTTGATAAAGTAGTTTGCAGGAATATAATTTTTTCTAGATTTTGAGGTTTTTTTGGTAAATTCTTGTCTTATGAGCTTCCTCATCTATTATATTTTGGCTTTTTAAAAGAATTCTTCATTCAGGTTAGTGGAGATTTATTTAGTATTTAGATTTAGCATTTTTTTCTCTTGCACTTTCATTCAGCTGAGTATTCACTTTGTATAAATACATGTATACACAAATGTTTATCTTTGAGTTTGACTGTATTGATTCATTCAGAACCCAAATCAGCTTTTTTGAATCTTAAAAAGGTATATTATCTCTTCTGATACATGTGCATTATTTCCTTATACCTAGTTTTTGTTTCAAATATTTTCCGTATACATTTTACCACTAAATCACTTATTATGTCCTAACTCTTTTAACATTGCATCTTAGAAGTTTTTTTCATTATATTAAAAATAGATCTGCATAAGATACATCTGTAGTATGATTGGATCATATTGAGCTATATCTGATTTTTCACTAATTCAAGTAATGCTATAGAGAAGATCTTGTGCATCTATGCAACTTTATCATTGGAATTTTGTGGAAAGAAATTTCAGCATCAAGAGATTATGCTTGTATTTTCAATTTTGACAGGAAACTAAGTTGCCCTTCAATGAAATGAAATTCATTGCCAACTGTTAACTTGACTGTCATTTTGTACATTAAGGATAAGAGGAAAGATCCCTTATTTTGCATATATGCCTCTAGGTTATCATTTGTAAAAATGTTCACATTTGATTAATTCCCCAGGACTGCCTTTTTTGTTGATAATTTTTCTTTTGATATTTAAAGAGCAGGTTTATTAGAAAAGGGATAGGATAGTAAAAGACGCTTGCATAGACACAAGAGGGCAGGAAGAGGTGCCCCGAAAGAGACAGGTTTGCTAAGAGAGGCCTGCATGGTTGCAGGCAGGTAGCCTTGAGGAGAGCAGCCTCCACTGAGGGAGGTCTGTGAAGAGAAGCCCCAGTATGTACATGTCACGGGCAGGCAGGAGGCTGCTGCCCTGCAGAGGGAGAGAGTTGGTGAAAAGAGTCACCTTCATAGTCACAGGTAGGCAGTGGGAGTGCTGCCTGTGTTGATAATTTTTTAATAGTACAATAACTGTGTCAGTAATAAAATAATTTTAGGAATTATATCACCTGGGGCAGAAGTACTGAGTTAACCCTAAAGCTCCAATGCAAGGGATAGCTCAGTAACTTCTGCAAAACCCCAAAGCAATTCTTTAAAAGGTTAAAAGTACTGTTGTAGCTTTGGCCCATTCAGAGTGTACATCTGAGTCTTACAAACACACACACTCTTCTCTCTCTCTCTCTCTCTCTCTCTCTCTCTCTCTCTCTCTGGAATACTGTAATCTTTTTAAGGGGAGTTATCTGATACCCTCTTGAAAAGATGGTACCCACAACTAGACCTAGCACCTTTGATCTCTCCAGTAATTCCTTCATTCTTAATTTGATCTCTCCAGTAATTCCTTCATTCATAATATCTTTAAAACTTTTTAAACCACTATGTTAAGGTATGGTTCACATATGAAAAGCCATACATATTTAATGTGTACAACTGGATGACTGGGAGTATGTAAGTGTACGTGCATGAAACCAGTCAGGACCATGAACAGTCCATCACCTTACAAGGATATTTTTTGTTCCCCTTGTGGGACCCTCGCCGGTGGCCGGGGAACGAACCGGCGCTGCAGAGGGTACAGGCAGCCTCGCAGCCCAGTGCTCAACCACTGCGCCACCAGGGGAGGCCACCTTGCAAGCTTTTTTCCCACCTCTTTATTATGAGTTTGTGTTGTTTGTGTGCATGTACAATGGTGACTATGTGACACTCTTAACCAATTTTAATTGGAGGCATCATGTATACTTATGTCTGAAGTTTTGCTTTCATTTTTAATTCAATTTAATTAGATTTTTTTCTAGTTTCACAAAAAATTTTGTCTCCCCTATCTTGTGTTGAGGCATTTGCATTCGCACTTTATGCCTGTAAAATTTCTCCTTATTGATGCTAAAATTCTGATTCTTATCCCAAAGTCATAATCTTTGAATTGGATTTGTTGAACTCATAGTCAGCCCACCTATGTTGCATTATCATCTGGTTCAGGCAGTCTCTTTTATCCCCAAAGCATAAAATTATATTGCTGAAAGATTGTGTGCGTGAGTTACAAAGTAACTGTATAAGAGCAGTCCTATTTTTTAATTCTGCGATTTCATAGAATAGAGATTCTAGAACCTGAATGGATTCATGCTGTTTTTTGAAGTACTTTTAAAATACTGTTTTTCAGTTATCCCTTTCTCCATTTGCATTAAATTTTCTAAATTACCTGAATTGTCTAAAAACTATACCCATTTTATACTTCTGATTTCTTCATATAACTTCGTTACTACTGATAGTCATTTGAGTGGCACAGTTAAGTGATTTAAATCTTTTATTGTTTCCTTCAGAAATCTATGTGGACTGAACATAAATCACCTGATGGAAGGACTTACTATTATAATACTGAAACAAAACAGTCGACTTGGGAGAAACCAGATGATCTTAAAACACCAGCTGAGGTAAAAGTTTGAGGGCTGGAAGTTGTGGGTTGTTAAGTAGGCTGGTTCATTTTTTTTTAGATTTCGTAATACTTGACCACCCAAGAACAGTATTGCTTATGTCTCAAGAAAGATTGCTATAAAACATTCAGAGAGGGCCTCCCTGGTGGCGCGAGGGGTTAAGACAAACCACTGTGAAGCTATCCACAACCACTTCAGCATGAGTTCAATCCCTGGCCAGGGAGGTAACCCACCTGGTGCAGCAGACTTCTCCTGTCTCGCCCGCTGCTCCCCTCAGTGCAGTGTATTTCAGTCAGTCTGCCTGTTCTGTTCCCCACTCTGTCTCAGGTGAATCCTCCACCC